GGCAGGGGGAGGGGTGGGGCACAAGGGGGCATAGTAACAGCAGGGGGCTGGGCTCACGTGTAGGTGTCTTGCTCCAGGCCCAGCAGGTCATAGGCCATGGCCTGGAAGGTGAGCTCGTGCAGCACAGGCGTCACCAGGTCCCAGCTCCGGTCCACGATGAGCAGCTGCGAGCGTGCCTTGTCGGGGCCCTGCCGGTGGGCAGGTGTCACCTGGAAACTGAGCCCCCACCCTCTCTCCCCACAACTGTGGAGGAAACTGAGGCACAAGCCCTCTCCTGCCCCATCTGGCCTCTCCCACCCATGGGGGAAACTGAGGCACAGACCATTTTCCCCTTCCAACCCTGATCTAAGCCCCCCTCCAGCTCTGGGTGAAACTGAGTCACGGAGGCTTCCTGGGGCTGTGGGAGTGGGAGCAGCAACTCACCTCTCCCATGCTGGGGTTGTCGGCCTTGAAGGCATTGAGTTTGGCCAGCACCGCGTGGGCCAGGGTGCAGTTGTCATCATGCCCCCTGGAGGAGGGGGCAGGGGCAGTTCAGTGGGGGGGGGGAACACAGATTCTTCACTGCCCCTGAACACACTCACTTCCTGCTGCAGCTGCCATGCCCCACCCCGCACACATACTTCCTGTCTCAAATTGCCCCAGCTCCACCCCCAGGAACCCCCACTTCCCCTCAGACCATTCAGTCCAAGTCCAGCAGCCCCACTTCCCATCTCAAGAGGCAAATGGCCTCGCCCCCAGGCACTCACTTCCTGCAGATCGCCCTGTCCCCCACTTCTTGTCTCAGATGACCTAATCCCACCCACAGGAACCCCCAGTTTGGGTCTCAGCTGGCCCCACCCCAGTCCATCCCCCTATCTCAAAGGGCCGGACCCTGCTCCTCCTCACCTCCTGTCTCAAAAGGCCTGGTCCCACCCCCAGAAACCCAACTTCCTGCCTCAAATGGTCAGACCCATCCCCAGGAACCCCCACACCAGAGGGCTCAGCCCTGGCTCCCCCACCAACTCCCTATCTCCAGCCCCCACTCCCCATCTCAGTGGCCTGGCCCCAGCCCCTCTCACCGGCGGTAGCGCACGGCTGGGTATTCCTGCAGGGTCTCACAGAGGGTGGCGATCTGCTCTGCCAGCTGCTCAAGCTGCCGCCCACGCTCTTCGCGCCCGAACGGGCCGTAGCAAGCTTGGAAGGCACCCGGATCGTCCAGCGAGAACACCTGGGCCCCAGGGCCATGGGTATCATGTGCCACACCCCTTGCCTGTGTCCAGCCCCCCTAGCAGAACACCCCCCCCCCAACTGCCTGGGTTGCTGGCACGAAGCTGGGCCAGGCCTCAGGGCACAAATCCCCTGGCCATAGAGCTAGGCAGGCAGGAACCATGTCCGTCCCCTCCAACCCCAGGCTGTACCATGCAAGATGCCCCCAAATAAGCCAGGCACAGCCAGCAGGGTGGGGCAGGGAGTCAGGGATCACAGCTGGGCACTGCCCCATGGAACCATGGAGTGCTAGGGGGCAGGTCTCAGAGCTGGGATGTTAGGAGCCTCCCAACCCTCATCGCTGGCAGTGCCCAGATGCCCGCCTCCCCATACAATGAGCTGAGGCCCGTGCTGGGCTGGAATGCACAGAGCCCTGGTATAGACCAAACCTCCCCAGAACCCACCTGGCTCTCGTAGGGCAGGAAGGCCAGATGGATCTCCTTGAGGGTCTTGATGACCTTGGTGATGCGGGACTTGCCCAGCTCCGTGAACAGCAGCTCGGGGCACGCTGCAACGGAGGGACACCCTCGTGTCATGGGGGGCAAGTCCTGCACGGGAGGCACAGGGACTCCTATGTGTCACATGTGGGGGGATGTCATGTGTCCTGGTGAGTTTGGGGGTCCACAAGCCCCTCCCCCGGCACCCCCAGTCTGCAGGCTCCACCCCACTGCCCCCTGCTGGCTGCACTGAGACACATGCACACACCGCTGTGGCTGGTGCCTAGGGATAATGGGAAGGCTTGGGATCCCCCCCACCTTGGGGTTTGGCTAGAGCACAGGCCCCCCCAGCAGCAGGCAGCAGCACAGTGCATGCTGGGAACAGCCTTGATAGGAGGCAGGGGATACTAACAGGCCCAAGGGTCGAGGGGAGCACGGTGGGCCAGAAGGGCACTCACTGTCAGTGAAGAAGACGTGTGCGGCCTTGTAGCTGTAGGTGGGGGAGCCCCGGAAGTCTCTGATCAGTGCCTGCACTGACTGGGGGTAGGGGGAGGGTGAGCCAGGCCTAGCCGAGGCAGAGGCCAGAGTCCACCCACCCCAGCCTGGAGCCAGAGGGAGCATCTGACAGGCAGACCCTGGCAGTGCCAGTCCCCTGACTCCTACCACCAGCTTCCCAAGTTCTGCACCTCCCAGCTGCCCCCAGCCCTAGGGGTGCTGAGCCCCCCAAGGAGTCACCAACACCTACCCCTGGCTCCATGCCCCTCAACCCAGACCCCATATGACCAAGGGATGCCCCTCCCCAAGTACCCACCTTCTCAACAGGGCTGAGCAGGTAGATGGCCTCCAGGCTGGGGATGGGCTCCCGCCGCTTGTTGATGTCCTCCACGACTACCAAGAGAAGGGTGTCAGTGGGGGTGGGGCGGGGGCTAAAGGCCCCACAGTCCCACAGCAAGAGCTCTACACCAGGGGCCAGGAGGGTGCTGGTAAGAGCATGGGGGAGGGCAGAGAACGGGCAGGGCAAGATGCTAATTGCCCCCTGCAGCTCAGCTGGTGTCCCTCACTCCCAAACCACAGCCCCCTGCCAGGACACTCACTGGTGATGCCCTCCGCCAGAATGTCGGACATCTTGCAGCAGGCCGAGACGATGCGCATGCTGGGGTGGTCCATGATCAGCACCTGTGGTGGGGTGAGTGGCTTGGTTGGGGGTAGCACCCCTGGGGCAAACTGAAGCATGGGATGGGAAACAGGGTGGAGAAGGTGGGGGGAAGGGAACAGAGCTGTGGGGCTCAAGCAGGGCAGGGGTGGCTGGGAGCCCGGACA